AGGAGAGGGGTGTGGTGCTCATAGCCGTCGCCCACCCTTGCTTGGGCGTCCGCCTCTTCCTATCTCTCTTCGCAGTCTCTCGCCGATTCTCGCTGCAACCTTCATGCCACCTCGCGGTCGTCCCACTCTCGTCGTTCTCCCTCCTGTCGCTTCCTCCTCTGTCGCGTCGCTCTCGTCTGCCTCATCCTGCGAGCCGCCGCCGCCTGCCGATCCCTTGCTCTCGCGGCTTCTCCCGCCTTTCGGCGCAACTCTGCTCTCCTCGCGGCATATTTTGGCCCCTCGAGTTTATCGAGCTCTCCTCGCGCAAGGACGACTCTTCTGACGCCCACTGCGGAATTCCCACTGCGATCATTTGCCGCCAAGTCATATCGTTGCTCAGGTCGACTCTCTCTCTCTTCGAACACTTGTACCTCCACGGTCGGTGTTGGCGCTGGGGTCCCCTTCGGGTGCATCGTTACAGCTGACGACGGGATTACCACCGGTCGGTGTTTCGTCCTCCTCGGAGTCTTCTTCCCCGGCTTCCTCCCGTTCGTGGCGCACCCTCCATGCCGTGAATCGTAATAAATAAATAAATAGATGATTCATGAGAGATGAGCGCGCGCGGATGTCTTTTTCGCCCATCTCTCCCTGTGGCGAGACGGTGGACGAGCTCACTGTGCCCGATGTGGGACGCGAACATCGGACCCGGCTGCGCCGACTCGCCCGGCGTCTCGCACCTCCCGCGCATCTCGCCGCTCCTCTGGGTCGGCAACGAGATCGCGCCGTCGGTCGGCAGCTTCGACGTCGTGGTCTCGACCGTTCCGCCGCGAAGTTGCAGGACGGGCGCGAGGCAGCCCGAGCTGACGACTCACGCTATCATGTTTGCCGACGGCCAGGGCAGCGAGACTGCGGCGGGCGTCGCCTTTGCGAAGCGGTGCATCCTCGAGGGCGCCGAGTGCGTAGCGGCTGCTGTGGCCGCGGGCAAGTCCGTCCTCGTCCACTGCGCGTGGGGCCAGAACCGCTCCTGCGCGATCTGCTGCGCTTTTGCCGTCTTGCACAGGAGTATGTCGGCTAACGAGGCTATCGACTACGTCCGCGAGCGAAACATCGCCGAGCGATCATACGCCGGTCAGCAGCCGCCGGGCGGCGCGATGCACAACCGGGTCTTCCGAGAGATCATTCGCGAGTTGGAGAGAGAGCGCGACGCCGAGGCGGAGGAGACGGCGGAGACTGCGGAGGAGGCGGCGGCGCGGGAAGCGGCCGCCGGCACCAGGCATGGCACATAGCAGGGGCAGGTTGAAATAAATAAATATAAACAAAGTGCAGTAGAATCTAGAACATCCAAATCGCAAACATAGAAGCCCAAACACACACACAGCCACGTGGCATAGCGCATAGGAGAGCAGGAGACTCTCCGGCGCAGGCCGCGAAGAACCGAGTCCGCGGGCCGACGGTCGCGGCGCGCCCGGGCGCGGCGCAGTGGAAATAAAAACGGACACCTCCCTACTGAGTACTGTGAGATGGGTAAAAAGGAACAGGTCCCCGCCCGTGCGATCTTTGTGCAGGGTTCTTTGTGGGTGTGGTCGGCGACTAGCAGGGGTGGTCCTCCCGGTGGGGGACTAGCACTAGCCGTCTTCCACATTGTCCCTCGGGTCCCTGCTGCTCCTAATCTTTTCGTACATCCTCCTGCTGATCTCCGCAACGTCCTGCTCCCTCCCTCGTCTCGCCCTTAAGGGGGGCTCCGCCTCACCGTCGTGGTCGTCTGGCCTGCG